ACAAATGGCCGTAGAAAATAAGGAAAAATGCGGAAAAATATAGGGGTCTCGTCGTCTCCACGACAAAATGGATGTAACATGATCTTAGGCGCCCGGTCAGCGCCCGGTCGATTTCCCGGCCCGCCGGGCCTTCACTGGGTTGGGCGGGGAAACGATTGAAAACAGAGCGAGATGCGCTGATTCCGTCGCTTTTTGGGTAAATCCTGTCTCCAGCCGGGGACCCGGCCGTATGGTCGGCCGAGCGAGGCTTACTTTCGGGGTTCTGGCATATGACTGTCCCGGCGAGGGCTTGTTTTCGGGGCTGGGGAGGGATGTAACCCCGGCCGCTGGAGGCCCCATTTTCGGGGAAATCGACCTAAATTTCATGTAAGTTTCGGGCCCTTCGGGCCCATTTTCGGGGATTCCGGCATATGAGCTCTTGGTGTATTGGCCGGGGTCCTTCTGCTCCCCACGTTTGCACTTTGCTTTACAAAACCTACCTAGCTAGAATCGTCTACTGTCTTCCAATCTTAGAATGACCGACGAGAACGAGCCAGGACCAGGAGGACAGGACAACCCGCAGGACGGCGGCCAGCCAAATCAGCCCATCCTAGATGAGTCTCGCAATCCGTTCCGAGCGAAATGTCCAAACTATCACGGTTTGGAATGGGACAACTTTAGAAAGCAGCTCATCGACGACGGAACCGTCGCCACCGATGACGACGCCGTGGCACGTCTCAAGGCCAAGTGGCAGGAGAACATCGAGAAGAAGAAGGAGGAATGGGTCAGGCAAGGTGGGAGAGCTCCCGACCCAGAGCTGCAAGACGGGCAGCAGGAGGGGGTTCGTGAGAGGAGCAGGGGTAGACGAGAGGGAGGAAGAGGGCGAAGAAGGAGGAGACGATCCCCGCGAAGTACGTCCTCCAGTACTATCTCCAGCCGTTCCGTCTCTCCGGACGACCGCGGCAGGCGTGGCAGGACGGACAAGAAGAAGAAAATTCTGCCTATCCCAGAAGGCAGAACCGGCCCAGACTCCATCGTCGATCCTCCCGCTCGCGCGATCATCAACAAGCTCAAAGACTTCGAATACGTCGAACTTGCCCACTTCACCGCCAGCGCGAGAGAGCGAGCCAAGAATGATGTTCGCGGGACGGACGAGGAAACCTTGGCCTGGTCAAGATCTACCAACGCCCTCACAATCACGACCATGCCCGCATCATCTCGCAACGTGCGACAGGACGAGGACCTCACCTGGGACGAGGTGATGCAAGCGCGAATCCAGTATCTCAACTGGCTAGAGAGGTCCAAGTGGCCCGACGAGTACGTCACGATGATCGCCCAGTTCTTCTGGGGCCTGGATACACACGAGCTTCGGGGCCAGACGGGCGGCCCTGGCATCCTCGTCCGCTACCAAGCGCAGTATCGCAGAGAATGGCACAACACGTTGCGCGAAGGCGAACCGTTCAACCTAGCGTTGATCAACGAGAAGGCGTTGAAGAACATCCAGAGCCAGGTCTTACAAGAGCAGGTGACTTCTACGCTCCGCGACGTACGTCTTCCCCGTTTTCATGTAAGGCAGCGAGCTTACTACAAAATACACTACTATACTGCGTTTTATCCTATCCGCGTTTTCGCGTCCCGCGTCCATCCAACATATGCGTTTTTCTCTTGCGTCACCCCAATGTGTCATCTGCGTTTTCGCATACCTGCGTCACCCGCGTTTCGGCTCTTTCGCTTCGGCATTGGCCTGCGCCTTGCATTCTGCGCCCACGGTGTTCCACGGCGACATTGTACCCACACACTTCAATGCGACACGCCCACTCACAAACCACAGCTGCGTTTCGAGAAGCAAGCCCTGATAGCAGAACGCCAAGCCTCAAGGAAGTGCGCCGCGAGTCCCATCGAACAGTCATCGCCGTCGAAGCGACCCCGCTGGCAGCAACGTTTTCCCTCCCGGCGAGACCACCAGCCCGCACAAGAGTCTTCCGGGGCTCGTTCTTTTCGAACACGCATCGACGAGTCGACCCGCGTCGTATGCGCAATCTGTTTGGGTCGTCACCCCCTCAACGAAGTCGCCAGATGCAACCTCGAACAGACCTGGGATGGCCAACCGACATGGTGCTCGCGAAACGGCGCGAGGATCGTCACAGCCGAGGGGAACACAATCTGCACGGATTGGCAGCGAGAGTCGGGCTGCACTCATACTGGACACCCCGAGCGCCACAAGTGCTCCGGTTGCGGGAGCGCGGGTCACGGAGCTCACGGATGCCCTCGTGCGGAGGCGGCTTAGCCCTCTCACTTCGCTGCGAGCCGACGCTTGGGAACTCTACCTGCGAGAAGCGGGGCTCAGTGCACGGTATCCACGGCTCGTTGACAGTATCAGGCATGGTTTCGATTCTGGCATACCTCCCATCTACACGACGTTCACCCCCCCTAATAGCTCCACCCTCTCACAACACCCCGACAAGTTCGCGCGCATCATCACACACGAAACTAGAGCAGAACGGTACATCGGACCGTTCTCGCGCCGCGTCTTGGAAGGGCACATCGGCCCCTTTCAATCATCTCCTCTTTCCCTCGTCCCCAAGCCGCACAAGCCGGACGTATACCGTCTGGTGCAAAACTTCTCTTTCCCGTACAGACCGTCCCCCGAGGGCGTCACCTTGATCAACTCTCACATCAACTCCGACAACTTCCCTTGTACCTGGGGGACCTTCAATGCCTTTTCCCTGCTGTGCTGGCGCCTTCCGCCAGGCTCGCAAGGCGCTGTCAGAGATGTTGCTGAAGCTTACCGACAAATCCCCCTGGCCCCCTCTCAATGGCCTGGAACAGTGGTGCGTTCAGGCGAAGATAAGTACATGGTCGACACCTGCGCCGCGTTTGGAGTGGGCTCTCACGCTGGCGTGTACGGGCTCGTTGGAGATGCACTTCTCGACATCTTCCGCCACAGAGGCATCGGCCCCCTCGCCAAATGGGTGGACGACAAGGTATTCTTGCGGATTCAAAGGTGACATCTCATCGACTACAACCACAGACGAGAACAGTGGCGTGCTCAGGTCGTTCGACACGGAGGTCGAAGGCATGACGGCGGTCGGATCTGGTTCGGTGGCGACACTTTGCCGGACGGACGGACGGATGAGTTTGTCGAAGACTTCCTGTTCCCAATCTGCGATCTATCCTCATCTTCGCCTCGAGAGCACACCGAGCAGCAATTCACCTATTCTTTGGTCGACGTGGACCGCGTCTCGACAGACTTGGGGATTCCCTGGCAGCGAGAGAAAGATCATGACTTCTCAGCGGTGGTGCCGTTCACCGGCTTCATCTGGGACCTCGAAGCTCGAACGGTCAGCATCGCCCCACAGAAGGCACAGAAGTACATTCGCGCGATCGACCACTGGCTGGAGACGCGACTTCACACGCTACGGGAGGTTCAGCAACTACACGGTAAACTTTGGCATGCATCCCTGGTGGTTCAAGCCGGACGCGCGTATCTCACCACCCTCGAGTCCATGCTTGGCATTTTCCACGACAGTCCTTTCATGCCACGTACCCCCCCAAAGTCGACCGTCGCTGACCTACTCTGGTGGCGCAGCACTCTCAGCAAACCTGTCATCGCACGCGAGATCCCCGGCCCAAGAGAAGTCTGGGATCCTCACGCCTTCTCAGACGCCAGCTCCGGGGTCGGGTTGGCGATCGTTATCAAAGACCACTGGCGTGCGTGGCGTCTCCTTCCAGGATGGAAGTCAGACGGCAGAGACATCGGCTGGGCCGAGGCGGTCGCGATGGAGCTCCTTGTACGCACCATCTTCATCCTTAGCGCTGACAAGCCGCCCCTCCCAGACATCAAAGTCTTCGGCGACAACAGGGGAGTGGTCGAAGGGTGGTGGCGAGGTCGAAGTCGAAACCAACAAACCAACGTTGTGTTCCGCCAATTGGCGTCCGAGTTGGAAGAGCGCAAGTCTCGCGTACACACTCGCTACGTCGAGAGCGGCGCGAACCCGGCAGATGAACCGTCCCGAGGGAAATTTCCCCCCCACCGTTTTCTCCTCCCACCAGTTGACATCCCGCAGCCCCTCCGACACTTCATCGTCGACTTCGACGCCCCGCTGGCGCCAGCTGAGGGTCGTGCACAGATCCAAATTTGCAACACAAGGTCGTCAACCAAGCCACCCCTATCAGCGGGAGAAGCCCGGAGACGAAAGTTTAAGAACCACGACTTCGAGGACATCGAGCTCTGGCGTCACAGCTACTGGCACGACCAGTAAGACACGCTTTGGTGCAGCGCTTCCCGACCCCAAGCCCCGCCGAGCGCGCCCTCCCCCGTATCGTGTTGGCCTTTCCCCTCGCTCGTCACCCCTCCGTCTGCACTGCTTCGCAGACGAAAGACTTCGACTCTGGATGCCCCCCGGATCTCAGCGTCGTGTCGGCATGGACGGCGCGCCGGCCGCCTTGGACGACGACGACATTTGCCGCATCTCGGATGTGACGGCACACGCCTGGGCGACCTCGACGGCCAAGACATACGGCTCGGGTTTGCTAATATACCACATTTTCTGCGACATCAGACAAATTCCAGAAGATCAGCGTGCCCCCACCTCCGAAATCATGGTCTTAGCCTTTGTGGTGGCTCTCGCGGGGTCCTACGTGCGCAGCGCCATTATCAACTACGTTAACGGTGTGCGTGCCTGGCACACAATTCATGGCTTACAGTGGCAGATCGACGAGACCCACCTGGATGCGGCGATCAAGGGCGCGGGCACACTAGCCCCGGATTCCTCTCACAAGAAGAAGCATGACCCCATCACCGTGCAGTGGCTCACTACCTTGGCGGCTCAATTCGACTGCGACAAGCCTCTCGACGCGGCCGTCTGGGCGTGCCTCACCTTCGGCTTCTTTTCGCTTGCACGCGCAGGCGAACTCACCGTCCCTAACATCGACTCCTTCGACGCCACCCTGCATCCAAGCCGAGCCAACCCATCAACACGATCCCACCGGGGAAGTGAAGTGCGGGTACTTTTCCTGCCAAGGACCAAGATGGCCCGCGACGGCGAAGACATCATGATCGCACGACAGTCCACCAGCTGTGGTAGTCGTAATGTATTATAAACCGTTCATAGGCCCGCGGCGCATTACATTATAAACCGTTCCGGTTCGTAATGTATTACGAACACCCCGGGGGCCCGAGGCATCTGCCCGGCACCTGCCAAATATGGCAGGCAGCCCCGGAAGCGCTGTTATCAGTGCCCGGCACTGTTCCCGGGCTTATCTATCTTAGATTATGCCTTTATCTCATCAATCCGAGTTCCCCGGACATTCCGGGAGCCCCTCCCACGGGCGCTTTGGCTCCCGCCCCCGCCACTTCCCAATTAGGCAGGTGTACTCAACACCTGCACCTGGGGCACATTGCCTGGCTCATATTTCGCTCAATACTTATCGCATCGGGTTGAAACCGGGTGCGTTCTGTGCGTATCTACGAGGGCTACAGGATGGAATCTAAACGTCCAAAATCGGATATGTATTGGCGGCGCTACATTGTATATTGATGGCTACTTTACAGAAATACTGCGCGGGCCATAGCACGCCCGGTACCACACGCGCCGACATGCATCTGGTATCCCTGGATAGCGCTGAATAGTGGCCTTCGAACGCGCACCTTGCGGTGAGAATCGGACCACGCGTTCCCGTTCTGTACCTGGTCCACATGGGCAGGCGGTCGTTTCCGGATTCCCGGGTCATATCCTGGCCGCATCACGGCGGATCTGTACGTATATGGGCTTGTTTTAAAGCTAAAACTATTAAGAATATTTACAAAGTTAAAACTTAGCTGCGCGCATTCTTAGAAGCGACGTGCGGGGCCAGGAAAGGGGTTACACCTCAGGAAGCCTTCATGGTGGATTTCCAGAGTGCATAGCATCTCCATGCAATGAATACCATACCACTGGAAAGCTACAGTTCACAGCTTTATAATGATGTACAATGCAATACAGACTCACCGCTTGATGCATCCTTATAAGGATGCCTCTCTCCTCATCCCTGCCAACAGTCCTCCTTGTTCTATAGCACCATGAATGGTTTCTTTGCTTGGATCACTATCTTGAAATGTATTCTTAATCATTCAAAGATTATAAACAGTCTTTGTGGATGATTTGCCTTTGTACATCATATCAGCTCAGCTTATTTTTGCTTTTTCGCACCTTCTGCACTATTATGGGCCTAACTCCTCCAATTGACCACCGATTGGTGTGCTTCTTTTTCCGTTTTGTAGCGAAACTATGTCGGTATATGTCCATCGATTGACAAGGTGCCGCCTGGAGTTCTCATAGCTGTACGCTTTTATCAGTGCTCCACCTTTAGTACTTCGCGCCGCGCTCAATAGGTGGCCGATTAAATTTCAAAAGGCCGATCCTGAACGCCAGATTAGTCGAGAGCCCGCACACAAAAAATGAAGGGAAACGAGTGAGTATTGAGGGAGATATAGCAAGATCTATTGATACAGGGGATAGCCGCCGACCGTCTTAAGACGGTGTGGGCGGCAGTGCTGTGACAGTGCCGGAATCCGAGTGCAATGTAACCGGTGCTACAGCAGGGCAAGGCTGTAGCACTGTAAAATCGCTATCTTGACGAGTTTTCCACCGTTTCCTGAGTTTGTTTTTGCGTTATAATGTGTTTTAAATGCTCTATATAAGTGTTGAACCAGATCACACATAGCTATTCTAAGAGGCCAGATATGAAGGTATATAAGCCAACACTGATAACGCTCTACCAGAATCCAAACGCATTCGATTGTGCTGAAATTTCGTACACGTATTCTCCAACATATAGCGCAGCTACAGACGTAATCTGAGGGCGATACGCGTTGAAACGAGAGCGCAGAAGGCATCTCTCTCACCAGAATCTGATCAGCAGTCCTGGCAACGTTTAGCTATACAAAACGCAATAATAACGGATTCACTGTAAAGCGCCATGTTTAAGCTTTGTTTCAAGCTCAAGAACATAAAAATCCGCCGTGTTTTGGGCGAGATATGGCCTAGTTAGGCCTGCCCAGCCCCTTGCCAGAGGTGGACAGGCCGCCGAGATCGATCGGGTGGGCAGATCTTCGCCGCAAGTGGCGCGTTCGAAATCCACTGCTCAGGGCGTTCTGGGGATATTAAGCGCACCTCCGCGCGTGAGGAATTGGGCGCGCTACAATCCCCGCAGTATTCCTGTAAAGCGCACATGAAAACGCCATGTAGCGCCGCCAATACAGACCCAAATTTGGGCGTTCCGACGTCGGTTTGTAGCCCTTGTGAATACGCACAGAAAGAGCCCAGTGTGACGCTCAGGCGTGGATTAATAAGCGAGCTATGAGCCAGGCAGTTTGCCCTGGGTGAAGTGTTCAGTATGCCTTCCTAATTGGGATGTGGCGGGGCGGAAGCCAAAGCGCCGGTGGGCAGGGCTACCGGGATGTCCGGGAAAGTCGGACTGATGAGATAAAGGCTTAATCTAGCAGAGATAAGCCCGGGAACAGCGCCGGGCACTGATAACAGCGCTTCCGGGGCTACCTGCCATATTTGGCAGGTGCCGGGCAGATGCCTCGGGCCCCCGGTGTCGTGGAGACGACGAGACCCCTATATTTTTCCGCATTTTTCCTTATTTTCTACGGCCATTTGTACGACACTTAGACTTAGAACCAGTAGTTAGAAGCATGTGACCAGTCACCTGACCCCCACCTGCAGACTGGCACTAATGTGCGCACAGACCACCTTTACGTTTGTACATGTTTGGCTCCCCTGACTCAGTATATAAACCCCACCTGTAGCGACCCTAGCCCTCATCTTGACCTCTTGGTCCTTGGGCTAGGTAAGCCGTCCTTTGTATTCTCTTAGTCAGCATAATATTAACTTGGTCCTTGGGCTAGATTTGACTTGAAAGTCTACGCTCGGCGTTAGCAAGCCTTCGCGCTCGCCGCCCTTGGGTTAGATCGTATTAGTTTCTTTGTTGTAGGCGTTGCCTGGTCGCGTCGAGTCTAGCTCCGCGACATTAGGTCAAGATCCCCC